AAAAAAAAAAAAAAAAAATCACTATTTACAAAATGGATAAAAATGGTCCTCCAGATTTGATAAGGGCACAGGGACAAGCATAAGACATGATCTGCAATTAATTAGACTCAGGTTTTTCTCTCCCAGGTCATCAGAGACTGCATTTGCCTAGTTTTTATTTTCCATTTCTACAGGTAATTCTGCAATGTCTTCTTTTTTTTTTCCAGAACCAGGGATTGAACTCAGGCCTTTGCGCTTGCCAGGGAAGTGTTTATTCTACTGAGCCATCTCCCTGGCCCCCAGGCAATGTCTTCTTTAGCCATGTCAGAATTTTCCCTTTGTGCCTCTTCCCTTTTTTTCTTCATTGTTGTTTTAGGGTTTGTTTGTTTGTTTTCCTTGTTTTGATTTGTTTGTTGTTTTTCTTGAGACAGGGTCTCAGTGTGGGAAAGAAAGCCCTGTGCCACACCTGGAAGCCCTGTGGTTTTGACACCACTTATATTCTGTGGCTCCCTGTGTTAAACACACAGCATTCTAAAGAGCATAGTGGCACACTCCTGTAGTCCCAGCATTTGGCAGGCTGAGGCAGGAGGATTGTTATGAGTTTGAGGCCGACCTAGGCTACATAGGGAGTTCAGGGCCAGCCTATATCATGTAAGACCTTGTCTCAAACAGACAAACAGCATTCTAGATAGTTGACCTTCATTTGGGCAAGGGGCATGTTTACCATGTCTGCTCAAAGCAGAATCCCCAACCTACACACACACACACACACACACACACACACACACACACTCACACACACAGGATAGGATGGAAGCCTTTTAAGGACAAGTTTGATTCATCATCTCTGGCCCTGAGCAAAATGTGAGGCAAACGTCAGAGTTTGGTGGCTATCTGCTAATGTCCAGGAATCATCAAGCATTAGGAAGCAATGGGTCACTCCACAGGCCAGCATGTGAAGTGACAGTGACAAGTCACGAATCTTTGAAACTTGGGAGGAAGGGCCAAGTTGGAAACTGACAACCTGCAGGAAGAAACAGAGCAGTTGGTAAAGCCACACATCAGATAAGGCCTAGAGGAAATAGAGGAGACTTGCAACGCAGTGTGGTCAAGTGGCCCAGAGGGGCCACAGAGTCACTGAAGGGAAGAGCAGCACTCTCCCCACCTGCACTTCCTTTTCAAGGTGCACACAAGTGAAGGGCTCTGCTTGTGTGCAGGCAAGGGACACACACCGAACCACCCCACCCAGCTAGCATGTGCAGGCTCAGGCCCACACACTCAGGTGCACACCAGCCAGTACAAGGAAAGAAGGCGCCTCCCTTGGAACTTTATTCATTCCGCAGCTCTGGTCTAGGGGGAGAGGTCACTGGTTCTCATGGGACGAAGACTCTGCACTTCCAGGCCTGTTCTCTGCATCCTCTTTGGGCCTGGGAGTAGGCTGGAACTTGAGGAGGACAGGCGGAGTGAAGATGGACGCCTTCACAGCACATGCTGGGGTCTTCTTGGGGCCAGGGGAGTCACTACAGGCAGAGGTCCTGTACGGGAGATATCCGACACACACACATGAGGCAGGACACTGGCATCAGGGTCACCAAGGGTACATGGGACAAATGGCCATGAGAAGACAGCCAAGGCAACAGCACAGCCATGCAGTGGACTATTCTGCTGCTGTTTAAAGGAACAAGTGAACTACCCCCACAAGTAAGGACATCCTGATGGTTTGTAATGGAAAAAAACAAGCTGCTAAGAAGTACATGTGATATGAGCCCACTTGGGTTAAGAGTTAACTAGTTATTGGGTCAACTGTAATCCTAGGACTCAAGAGTCTGAGGCAAGATGATCGCAAGTTTGAAGTTTGAGGTTAAGGGTCAACAAGATAGCTCAGCTGACTAAGCACCTGCTTACGCAAGTACAGGGACTGGGGTTCAATCCCTGATACTGCATGCTGTGCTGGCCCTACCACTGGGTACACTGAGCTGGCCACCGAGTCTGGGCATAATCCCAGCACTGGGGAGGCTGAAAGCAGGAGGATCGCTGAGTCCGAGCTGTGTAGT